TCATGAACTTTTTTAGTTTGAATGTCCATTAGAAAGGGGGAAGCATGGCCTTCTTTGGACTTTTAAATGTTCAGCCGAACGATACTTTCATTCCAGACTCAAACTTAGCAAAATGAATGTAACCTTTGACTTGTTTTGGTCTGAGACATGTAACGAAACCTCGCCGACACCTGTCTGTGGAAGCACGCCCTACCGGTCCGCTAACGGCACCTGCAACAATATTAACAATCCAAATTGGGGAGCCACTTTTAGCCCCTTCCGCCGCTTGGCTCCGACGAGCTATGGTGATGGTAGGTGTGATTTTCGTTTACTGAAGTCCTCGTCTATATTTCCTTCGGCTTAATAAGCATAATTGCATATACCATTCCATGTGTTCAACTTTTTAACCTGTTACTTGCACTTTATAGCACGAAATGTATAATCAATAGAATTGCAATATGCCATGCTAAGTCATGCATGTACACCATGCATATCATACTGTTATTCTACAGGAGTGTCAAGCCTGCGCCTTGCCCAGGACGGGTTCGCCTTGCCCAGTGCCCGCCGTGTCAGCTCCACTGTCAGGCACCCCCGACAGATCGAGGGTCATCCCGTCTCCGTCCTTTTCATGACCTATGGGCAGTTTCTGGACCACGACCTGACCTTTGCACCTGTCGCTGGTGAGGAGGCCTGAAGATGGTTGATAATTTTAGCATGAAATCATTATCTAAAAAAAACGACATACTGTTTTTACTTGTTTGATGTTTCAGGAACTAATATGTACATCATATACGAAGTGTGTAAAACGGGCAATCGTGTTTACACATGGAATAAAGAGGTTGAAAAGGATAATACTTTCCAGGCGAGAATGGGGAGGCGATTCCGTGCTGTCCCGAGGCCCTAGGCGACACCCCCCCCCACCCCGAGTGCGCACCAATTTCCATCCCTGCAGATGACCCCTTCTACGCCCAGTTCAACCAGACGTGCATGGAGTTCATCCGTTCAGCGTCTGCCCCACGCTGCCATTTCGGTGTGTTGTTATTATGATCCGCTCTTCTGTAAAGAACCCTGATAAACAATCCGGTGTGTTTCCCTGGCAATTTCACACACTTCGGAGAACGTGGTAAATCCCTTTTATACTGATCCGCTGCCTTTTGTTTCTCCTCGCTCTTCTCCGATAGCAATTCGTGCTAAATATAACAAAATTCGATAACTGACTACGTACATTTCTAAATCCAAAACGGTTGCCTGAAATAGCTGTCTCAAGAAACGCTTCCTTCAGGTCCACGAGAACAAATGAACGAGAGGACGGCATATATCGACGGCTCTCAGATCTACGGCACCAGCGATGAGATGATGAAGTCACTGAGAACGATGGAGGATGGTCTGCTCGTCACCCAGGTTAGGGCGAGGAAGGAGGAGGAGTCGATTGAACTATATAAGGGGTCATTGAACTTCGGGGTTAATAGATATTTATCTAAGAAATAGAAATTACATTTTACTGATTCACGGCTGGCATGTTGATGGTATTTATCCCTTGTATAAATTGCAAATATTTACAAAATGAAGATTATGGCAAGCAGTGTTGTGAAGAAGTATCGCTTCCTCTCTCTAGATAACCAAAGAGGGCACGGAGCTTCTTCCTCCAATTAAAGACTTATCGAACGCGTGCAACAGGGAGGAGAAAGCTGATGCGGACCAGTTCTGTTTCCAAGCCGGTGAGTGGGTCTCCTCTTCTCGCACTGATTGGACTTTAGGGAACTGACACTATAAAGACATTCATAAACTAAGAAATGGTCAAATGTATTACGGAGTGTGTTGTACGAGGTTAAATGTAAACTGAAAGTATACCCGTGTACGTATACTGAAGGTATGTCACATGAGAATAATGTGTTATGTACGTATACTGAATTTTATTTTAAAAAGCTAATTTATTCAACAATTCCGGCCACAGGAGACATGAGAGTGAACGAGCAGATTCTGCTGACATTGTTTCACACTGTGTGGGCACGTCACCACAACAACATAGCAGCTAAACTGAAGTCTTCAAACCCTGCATGGAATGATGAAAAACTGTTCCAGGAAGCTCGCAGGATTGTAGGTGCTCAGCTACAAGTGGTCACCTACAATGAGTACCTCCCTCGTATCATAGGTATGTATCATGTTGATAGAATATCTTCCCTCCTATCAGTGATATATATCATGTTTATTTTTAAAAGTGCTTGTAGATAGAATCTCTTAATACGGTTAAACATTCTTTCCTAAAATGCCATGTTGTTTCATTCATTTTCAGGTTCCAAACCCTACTTGTCTCCATTTGACTACACCAATTATGATTCCTCGATAAGTGCTGGCATCAGCGCCGAGTTTGCAACTGCTGCATTCCGTTTTGGACATAGTCAGATTGCGGTACGTTGCTGATATTAGTTTCCATAATAATTCATAAGTAGACAATTATTGCATTATTTTAAATTATTTTTTGTAAAGCAAGTAGATGCTATGGTATACCGCTCTGACATTT